TCTGGCCATCCTATTTAAGAATTTAAAAGCCTGTTGTTTTGGTTTTTTTTCAGTTATCTAACCTAGTTTTCCCAGTTTAATTGAAACAGTTAAATATGGTAAAATACCCCAAGTACCATCACAAGTTTTATCGCATGATACCCAAATCCTTACTTGAAGCATAGATTATTATTTCGCTTAATTGTTAACCCTAAAGAATGTAATATGTAGTAAGGTCAAAATATAATGATTTGAGAATACTTAGCAAAATTTCAAGGAAAGTATTTTTTTGTTTATAGTAATTTTCACACTATCGGATCATTCGTGCTTTATCAAGGTGAGATTTAAACTCATAATTTTGGAGTGAGAGGTATGGATTCAGATCTTTATGTTTTACAGACTAACCTCGATATTCAAAGATGTCCTAATCTTGGTATCTGGTTAGTATCTGGTGTCGATCATTTTCATGCCAAGCATTATTGGAGTTTGAGACGGCATGAATCTGCTTCTCTATCTTGAAGTAGCTTCGTAACAGGATATGTCTCGCTCAGCCTTCATACTAGAACTGTAGCAAAAGAATTCAAGAAATGACACCATATGCCACCATATGCAATCAAATGACACCATATGGAACTCTTTAAATTTAACTATCGTAGCAACGATAAAATCACCGCTTGAACCGGGCGCGAACAAATTGCGAGTGAGAGAAAAGAATAATATGAAAGTTGTAAGCAAGAGAATATAATGGTGTAGGGGAAATGATCCTATAGTTGCGGTACGTTAGAAGCGTTAGGTTTATATAGTTGTGCATGGAGACTCAATACACAACTATAGGAACCTAACGCTTCTAACGTACCGCAACTATAGGAGCGTTTACCCTATGTGATATTGATTGTTGATTGATTACAAGGATTCTTCAAGACCAAATTATGGCCTACAAGACTAATATAAAATCAAAAATGTTACTTAGTATGAGTACATATGATCTTTCCCGGTGCAATTTGGGGTTTCCCGCATTTTTCCAGGTTTTTTCCCGGATTTCCCGGTTGCATGGACACCCTGAGTGATATTTCGAACGTTATTTTTCATGTTCGAAAATCCATGTATCATCATAGATCGACCGATTTTCGAGCAGAACTCAGCCACGGTTGTCAAAACCTTATTTCTTGTCTGTCAAATTTTAACCAAAAGTTTAAAAAATCCGCCAAAAGGTTCAGAGTCTAAGGCTGTGTTCCATTTGATGAATTTTCACTTAAATTTGACAGATGAAAAATTTTCAAATAAACCAGCTATTGTGCCAGACTTGTTTCGGACAGACCAGGAATCAATTCTCACGAACACCTTCTCGAAAATCAGACGATTAACTACAGAGGGGTTTTCGAACATTATAATTTATTTTCGAAGTGTCAAATTGAAGTTAAAATTCACCAAATGGAAAACTGTGTCCCAATTTAACTCGTGGTTAAAAGTGACATTTCGAATGTTATTTTCAATGTTCGAAAATCCCGGTGTTTTCGAGCTATCGGGTTTCAAATAGAACTCAGCCATGGTTGCCTAAATTCAACTTCTAGTCAGTCACAAATAACCAAGCTCGGATAGCAACGTTATTCGATAATTTTTCATCTGTCAAATGTTAACCAAAAGTTAAAATAATCCGCGGAATGGTTCAGAGCTTACGAGAACTCTCAAATTATTTTGATAAAACATTTTAAAAGAATTACGTTTGATTCCATGTTCAAACGTCGAACAAAAAGCTGAATTCGAACAAGGGAATGCAATACAACAAAAAGCAAATTGTTTCAGATTAGGTAAAAGTATCCAAAAATGAGGATGTGGTAACAATAATTTTTTTTCCTTGATTTGTTTTTCGTCCATCTTGCTTTCCGTGCTGAGCACCAATGCTACTGACGCCAGGAAAGCAGCTCCCACACCTGGACCCTACCCTATCGACTCATCAACTCATGAACCGGGGACCAACGGCTTTACTTCCCTAGGCGTGATCAGAGATGTTATGTTTCAGAACATCCCGGCGGTGCCGACTGGGATTGAACCCAGGCCTCCTGGGGTGAGAGGTAATCACGCTTGCCAGTACACAACCGGCGCCGCTAGCAATAAAAAAAAAAATTGAACAACTGCAATGTATTTTAGATGCGTCGAAAAATGTGTCTTAAGTGGCCATTTTCGTGAAAAACATGTTTTAGTCGAAAAGTGCCTTTTGTGACCGACCATTCACTCATGAACCAACCTCCAGAACTGTTATTATGAACCGCAGAACGGCAGTCGGTGTGTATACTAATTTTACCTCTTGTATGTATGTATGTAAGTAGCCACCATCCTAGCTTGGGTCTTGCCCTGCATGCGGCTCCACTCAACAGCACGATCAAATTCCGTCATCATTCTGAATTCAACATACTGCTGTATGAAGGGCCAAAAAGGGTTGGACGGGCCCGTAAGCAGAGGCACTTACGCGAAACCCGCGGGAATAAGAGAATCTCCTTCCAACAATATGATCCAACAAAATGAATAACGAAATTTGCAATACATGTTAAGCTTTCCACGGGATGATTTGTTTAAGAAGAGCGCGTCAAATTCATTGCAACTGTTGGAGTGAAATGTAACTATCTAAAATGACAGTACACATTCCCTCCTAGACTCCGGTTGGCACTCCACTCCATTGTCCAGTTACAACTTCAATGATGCCCTGATGCTCCCTCCCGTCCCAGTATTTATTGTAATTTACATTATGAATTTATATATAATCATGTAATATATAATGTATATAAAATATGTTATAAAATAAAAAAAATATAATAAAAAATAAAGATGTTTTACAAAATACAAATAACCTAGATTATTGGGTCCTATACACACACTTTTTGTTTTATGTGCCATGAAATGACATAATGTATCATTGTATGTTTTGAAAATATAATACTAAAGTATTGAATCAATAGACCGAAAATCGAGGTTATTTGGACATGAGACATTATATTTAAAAGGATACTACCAAACCGACCATTAAACGCACTGCCCACAAAAGCAGACACGTCCCTTCGAAAATGCAATCGAGAAATGTACAAGAACAATCCTCAACTGGAACGTACTCACCAAATCAATATATCCGGGAGCGCATTCCCGATGTCGTCGAACGGCAAAAAAAGGGAACTTGGTGAGCAAATTTGTGATACGGAATTTTCACTGAAAACAACCGCGAATTTCACCACACCCAACTGCGAAACACGTTCAGAAGCACTTTTGGTACACTTTCGATATCAATTTCATTCGAAAAAACTTACTCAACACCGATCGTGCCAATTGTGCCAAGCTCTTTCACGCTGTATACTAATTTTACCTCTTATCAGAAAAAAAACTAATGCGCAGAAATTTTACTTCGAAAAACAGGACAATCAAAATTGTATCTGTATTTCCCATCATTTTTGGTTATGAACCATGTTCAGCAGCGTTCAGAATTATAATGGCCTAGATATAGTTTAATATTATAAAATCAAACCGTTTTTGGTAAATATAAATCGGGTTTATTCATCAAAATCTGTAAATTGATAGTACAAATGTTGATACAGATTTACAGATTACAGATTCTATAACATTTGCCTGAATGACACTTATTCGAATGCCAGTAGCCCGAATGTAACACAAGCCTCAATCGTTTGAAAATAGTCTGATTTTGAGCCCCGCATTTGTAACTTTATAGAAAACTCACAAAAATTCTGAAATGTCTGATATTAGATTATGATTTCCCATCAAACATTCAAATACTAGAATTCAGAAATATTTAAAAGAAGGAAGAATCTTCTCCGAAATATTAGATTCTAACTGACTATTTCAAATTATTCCTTCGTAAAACAGTATGACCCGAAAGAACTGCTCAGGTGTTAAAGAGGGAAAAATCTCCTAATATTATTATTTTCGGGCTAGCGTTATAAAACCGTTAATACACCGCCTTCATGAATTGAACTTTAACCCGCAAAACAAACAAATGATAAGAACTTATATGTACACAGCAACACATAACGCGCCGCCCAAATTGCAACTTGGCTACGTAACTAAGGATTTGGAACAATGACATAATAATCTCGTAGGTTTCGCAGCTAACCGCGATGGCTGTCGTACTTATCAGCTGGAGCTCTGGCTACCTGGCAAAACAAAGAGCAACCATAATATTTCATCGCATCGAAGGCCTGCAATACAATATCATCGATGAGAACAGTGTGGCTCTTTTATCAGTGGGATCCCTGGCCCGATTCGAAAAGGCCATCGATGGGAAAAGGCGCCAATTGATTGGGAAACGACCGGCCGGCTGATAGATACTGATTTCGGCAATTGCTGTAATCTGTTCAGGTGATAAATCTGAATTATCTCAACGGGGTTGCAATTTGTCAGATTTGTTAAATTGCATCGCAGCCGCAATTGAATGGTTTACGACATTTTATGTTTTGTAAAAATCTTTATAAAGTCTATTTGAAGGGGGCGGCCCCGCCGTAGTGGTTAACATCCATCACAAATGACCCAAAAATGACCATAATAAATGAAAAATGGAAATTATTTGAATACATGAAACCAATATCAAGAAATTTTCAACAGTACAAACTCACATACCTACAAGCTGCTATTAATTACTCTTAAGTATGTATCTTAAATAGTTAATCGCGAAAAGAACGTAATACGAAAACGCCCTTGATTTCAATGGAAACAACATTTAACCTGGTTGAGTTTCCCTCACCACTCACTGCTAGACAATGATCACTTTAAATCGTTCATACTTTTCCTTCCTACAATAATCCATGCTAAAGTGGTTTTCTTGAAATTTTGTGTTGTACCACCGACTTTTATGGCGTTTATGTCTTACTCATGTTTCGTTTGCTTTTTACGCGTACCTACATCATCATCCACCGACGTGTACTGGCTTCAAAAATAGACCCCCCCATTATTAGATAACGTCTAGCTGCTTGACCGGAAGCTTCTATTGATTTTGCGACTGACGGTCTGCACTGGTCACTTACCCGGAAAGGCCTCCAAATAGATACTGGATGTATACTGGCTTCTTTTTGTCACCCATTATTGTAGTTTCGCTTTCTCGTTGGGGTCTGGGCTTAATTGTTCTTCGATCGATCTAATGAGGTCAGCTTTTACGGTTAAAACAATAGACAATGACGTCGCACGCACAATAAAAACCGATAGATTATCCCTGTTGTTCCACTTCTATCGTTAGATCTAAATGCAAAAGCACCGGGTGAAAATTAAGATCACAAAAGAACGGGAAATGATTGTCGACGGATGTTCGAAAATGCAACGGATTAATCACTAGAGGAGAGGTATAATTGTGGTTTCGCGAGACTGATCATTTCACCGATAGGAAACTGAACGAGTACTGAAAGATTGTCCAACTGACTTGATTAACTGATCTGACGAGTGACGAATGCGAATAAGTGGGGTGCTGAACATGTATTTTTGTGTACAGATGAGAACCAAGAACCAACACCGTCAACAGCTGATGTTTTTGTGACAGTGAACGAAGGTCAAGATTTCTCGACCAACAATTGAAAAAGGCCTATAAGATTTAGCAAGCAAAAGTTTGTAAAGCCTTGCTTCTCAAAGAGTAGGCCGCTCACGCAAACCAACAACTTAATCGGTTAGGAGAATCATTCTCCTACATGATGATGCCATTGCTTTGTATGGGGGACCTTTGGTTTACGAGGAAAAAGCTTTCAAAGTTTTGTTTAAAAAGTGTCATAGGCTCTTTTCAATTATTGGTCGAGCATTTTCTGCAAATACAAATTTGATGTCGGCTGTCAGCCCGCAGTCAAACTGTATTATATGTTGCAGGGGTGAATCTATTATTTTAGTACAGAAATCATTTCATTAAAAAAATATGGAATAATTTATGTACTAAGGCTCTGAACCATTTGGCGACTTTTTTTTTAGCTTTTGGGCCAATTAATTAATATTGAGCTTTAATTCGCGAGAAACTGTCAAATGACGTGTTTGTTTACAAAAGCAATTACGCCCTATTCTCGAAGTTCTTCGGATTTTTTTCCTTTCTTTGTTTTCCGTCGATCTTGTTTTCCGTGCTAGGCATCAATGTTACCGACGCCAGGGAGGCAGCTCCCACACCTGGACCCTACCTATCGACCTATCAACTTATGAACCGGGGACCAACGGCTTTACTTCCCCGTGATCAGAGATGTTATGCCTCTTCTTCTTCTTCTTCTTCTTCTTCTTCTTCTTCTTTCCTTTATTTAACGTCGGTCTCTGTTCCGCAATCTAGTGCCAATCACCGACGGACATCGATTGCCGGCAATCGTATGTGCAGGAAGGCAGCTTCCACACCTGCGTAGGATATCGCACCCATTCAACACACATGGGCCGGGACCAATGGCTTTACTTCCCTTCCGAAGAAAGACGTGACCAGAGATTTTTATGCCTCAGAAAAATCCCACCGACCTCGGCTGGGATTGAACCCAGACCCATTGGGGTGTTAGAAAGCAGTCACGCTTACCACTACACCACCGCCGCCAGCTGATGTTATGCCTCAGAACATCCCGGTGGCGCCGACTGGGATTGAACACATTATAGGTACTGTACACAGCAAAAAAAAAAAAAAATGTAATATCGATCAATGTAATTTACACACTTAATCTAGCTCGGTAAAATCTCCAACAGCCGATTACCTCGGCATTTACTTTTGCTGATATCTCTGCAAACTATCTGTTTGTTAGCTGATATCTCAGCAAAATGTTATTTGTTAGCTGAGTCTCGGCAATTGTTTTACTGAATCTCAGCGAAATAAATTGCAGAACTGCTCGGCTGTTGGAATCTCGGCGAAAAAATAGATACAATATTACATCAATGGATGTAATTTTGTTCGCAAAATCGATGTACATTGTACACAACCGATGGATTGACCTGGTTGCAGCAGTTTGGATGTAATATTCAACAACTTTTTTTCTGTGTAGATTTCATAGATAAGTTGTGTTGGCAACCACGAAAAATAAATGATCTTACTGGCATCTATGATAATTTTTCATGCCCTCATAGAGCTCTTCGTTGTGCAGTTTTGTTTTGTTTCGTGCACAAAAGTTCAACATTAAGTGTAAAGCAAAGATTTGCAACAATAAATTTATGAGTGCTTGCGTTATGTTACCTTCTTCTGTTTTACGCGAAATAAATCGGAATGTGGAGTGTGGAAAGCGTTTTGTGCTCATAATATTACAACAATTACTTCTCCCGCAGAAAACACCATGATGACGTCATGCTAGTTTGGCCACACTAACTGACAGTTAGTTTGGCTACATTCTACTTTGCCTCCGCTTATCTATGGAATCTATAGTATCTATAGAACCCACTACACCATACCGCTTTCTCTGGATTTATAATCATATAATACTTTCGGAAAAGTGAGAGTTGCCCCTATCCGATGATGTTATTGGTTTGCGTGAGCGTACTTCGGTTCGCGTGTAAAGGGCCCTAAAAAGTTTGTTTACAAAAGCTTTTGTGCCGTTATCAAATGTTATGCCTGATATGATGTATAACTTTTAGTACACAGTTCAAACCGCATTAATTCAGTTCGCGCTCGCATTATAAGAGGTTTCACTGTTAGAAATGTCACTTCGTTTTGTGTTTAGTTTTACTACATGTGCATACCAAAATAATGAAAGATAACATGTGTTGTGGTTACCAGCGTGTTCTACAGAGTGAATCAATCCACTGATCCTTTGGAATTATTGCTTTTTGTGATTTTGTGCATTGTCCTTCGAAACAATGGAACCCCAAGAAAGTAAAACAATAGACGCTGAGGATACAAGAGGAGAAAATAGTGAAACCGTAAAACTACCGGTATCACTGACTGAAGTATCAATAGCCGAGAAAGTTGCAGATGATTCTACATCCAAACAAATGGAACAAGTTAACGCTGCACCTGTCGAAATAAACGATAAAGAAATGAAAATTCCCACACAGGAAGGAAGCTCGGAACAATCTGCAACTTCGAAAGAAAATATGGAATCGACCGAAATCGAAATGACGACAGAGAGTGCTGCCGCTGTCCAATCTATTGTGTTTAAAGAAGAGCCAACAGATGCGGAAATGGAATCAGCAGAGGTGCTTTTTCAAGTAGAATTTGCTTCCTAGGCTTTAGGTTTTGATGTGTTTCATGTTTTAGGACTTCACCCGCAGAGCGTCGGATTTTCCGACAGTACCCCGCATAAGCGTAAAACAAGAGATTCCAACATCCTTCCAAGAACAAGTAGCTGCAGAGCAAGCGATGGAATCTAAGGCCGTGCTTCAGATAAATAACAGTGCCCTAGCATTGCTAAGTCAATACATCAGTTCGGAATCAGAATCCAATATAACAGATTCAGATGAAGAACTGCCGAGAAAAAATACACAAGCGGTGCGCTGTGTTTCGACAAGTTCGGAAAGCTCTGATGATGTTCAAGTTATTCGAAACACCAGTAGCTATCGTATGCAAGATGTCCCGGTGATTGTGAGTGACACAGAAACAACAGCCACTGGAATGGATGAGTATGTTTTTTTGTCGTATAGTGTGATTATTAAATGGTATTTATATGAATGTTTTATTTTTTCAGTTCTGAGAATGAGATTTCTGAAGATGAGGATGGTCCGCAAGTTAATCCTCCTATCAAAAGCAAAGGAGAAGTGCTTCTAAATGAATTACCACCGATCGAGGATCTTCAAATTTCTGTATCGGAGGCAGAATGCAAACCAATTGGACACGTCCAATCCATTGTTGCCCAGATAGTCATTGTTCAGTCATATGCTGGAGTCGAACTGCTGAATTTGGAAACGGTTCTTTTCCTGGAGAAAGGCAAACGAGCATTGGGGAAAATCTTTGACGTAATTGGACAAGTGGTCGCTCCTATGTATTGTGTTCTGTTTAACAATCGGCAAGATGTTGTCCGCAGAGGAATATCCGTTGGAATGCCGGTGTATTGCGCACCCCAGACAGAGCATACATCTTTTATCATTCTTTCGGATTTGATGAGACACAAAGGATCAGATGCCAGCTGGCTGGATGATAATGAAGCTCCGGATCATGTACTGGATTATTCCGACGATGAGCAGGAAAGAAGAGCACGAAGGCGACGCGGTAGTTGTTCGTCAAGTGGGCGGAATTCACCCGACGGAGGACATCCGTCTTATCAGCCATACCAGGTTCACCAGCCTCACCACCAGCGACGAGGACGGGGAGGTGGCTATCGTGGTCGGCAAGGTCATAGTTGGCATGATAATTTTCCGGTGCAGCATCAACCACAAAGGGTCATTAATCCATTTGCTTTCGTTGCTGGAGTACCACCACCGCCACCGCCTCCGCCTCCGCCACCAGGAAGTAACAACAACTAATCGTACTTCCGGCCTGAGGTTTTATTTTGAGTTACTAGAAATTACTATTTTAAAATTACACTATTTGTAATTCTAAATAATCGTTTTTTGAATTTTATTGAACTGAATAAATCACTTATTATGAATTAATAAAAAAGTACATACCTATACCTGCATATTGTAGGGACATATATTTTGGTTTTAAATTCAAATGCTAGACGCTATTATATTAATACTGCCTATATTAATATGCATGGTTTGTTATATCCGCGAAAAATATGACGATTCAAAAAGCAAAACTTTAACTTAGTTTCTGGACGATTTAATTTCAGGATGGGACTGATATGTGATTACTTTGCTTGATGGGACAAACTGACGTGATGTTGTTTTCACATTTTTAATTAATTTAATTATTAATTTTATGTGATAAAACTACATAATATGAAAGTAGATGGCAATTGACAGTGGATAGCGTTGTTATCTCAAAATTTACGAAAATCCACATGGGACTGATTTGCGAATATCTGCCTATAATCCCATATCAGTCCCATATGGAAAAAGTAGGCATTGGGAAAATGGCAGTCGAAGTTACGAAGTGCAATTTCCATGCAAATACTTGATAAATAATAGTAAATTAAATTGATCCATAATTTTTTGTGTTGACCATGAATAAGGCAATAACGATAAAATTAATAATTTTTCACTTTTTGCAGTGGATGCATTGGAAAACTTTTCCTTCATGTTTTCTAAAACTTCTTTGAGTTCATTCACTTCGTCAGCCTCAGGCGCGAAGTTGAAAAGATTCTTTCTAATACCTTCGTTGATTTCACGGTGCTTCTTTTCGGGGTAGCGAACCTCGACTACTTTTCCAATAGGGCCTGTGTAGAAAAGCGCTTATAAAATAAACATTTTAATACATTGCAAAAACAGCTTGCTTGATTGCAATGGTGTCTTCAAGAAAGTTGTCCAAAATTAAAATGCAATTCTTGAAAAAATATACACGGTTGAAAAACATGTATTTTTAATAAAAATGTAAAAATCGTGAAATTTTCAAAAAATCATAACTTTTTTGTTTTTGAGTTTACCATCACCAAACTTTGCCAGTTTGTAGCAAATAATATGAGCTTCAATAAGGTATACAACGAAAATTGTACTTTTTGAGAAATTAACTTTTTTAATAACAAATATAATTTTTTTCATTGAAACAAACGATTTTTTTTACAGTGTATATTTTTAACATTATTGCTAAAATTATATCTACAACTTTGCTCAAGAAACCAAATCAATCCAACAAACCGTTTCAGCAATATATATTTTTAAACTCATTAGTACTATTTTTACACAGGCCCTGTTAGAAAAGTAGTCGTGATTCAATTTGAAGAACTGATAACACAAATTGGCATCTTTACTAAAAAAGAACAACTGTGCAAATTTTCATCAAAATCGGAGCCGACAAATTAAAAAAAAATTAAAAAATTCGTCAATCTGTAGAGAATTGCTCTATAGCTTCTGGTGTTTTCCCTAGCTGCTGGAAAAACTCATTTTTTCCCGGTTCATAAAAGAGGATGCAAGCGTACTGTTTCCAACTATTGCCGCCTTGTGTGCGTCGTCGACATTTTTTGAACTGATTGTCCTGGACTTCTTATCACAGAAATGCTCGCAATATGTCTCATCAGACCAACATGGATTTGTTCCCAAACGGTCGACTACCACCAACCTTGTGACATTTACTTCTTTCGTCGTTCGCCAAATGGAGAAAGGCTCGCATGTGGATGCGATTTATACGGATCTGCTTTCGATAGAATGGATCAAGAAATAGCCTTGGCCAAGTTTGACAGATTAGGAATTGACGGTAACCTTCACTGTTGGTTGCGATCGTACCTAACTGGACGGAAATTGTACATCAAGCTTGGTGATCATGTTTTGTCTTCGTTTCTAGTTAAGCCCGGAGTACCACAAGGCAGTCATCTTGAACCATTCCTTTTCCTGCTATACACATGAACGATGTTAACAACGTCCTTAAGGGGAAGTTTACCGCTCCGAAAAAAAATATTACATTTCAATTTTTCAAAAAATATTGCAAAAAATATAAGAAATCTAAAAAAAAATCGCATTTTTTTCTAATTTTCAAAGAAAATTCATGTGCAAACACAAATTTTGTAAGTCATTATGGCATAAAGTTGGACTCAAAAAACCACAAAGCATCGACTTTTCGGTTTTGCTGAGAGTCCAATTTTGAATAGAAAAAATATGTTTACATGTACACACTTAGAAAAAAATCATGTTAATTTAGGTGCCCTGAAACTGACATATTGAGCGTCCACTTTGACATAAAATTGAGTCATAATAGACGCGAAATTCAGCTCAATCAAACGTACTTTCAAACTTGTCAGTCTTGGAGCACTTAATTTTACATGACATGTTTGTTTACGTCTCATCCTTTATTCAAAGATGGATTCCGTCACGTGTAAAATTCAGTGCCAACATTTCAAAGGGGCGTAATTGCTTTTGTAAACAATGGCTTTAGCCGTCGATTTCTCGCAAATAAAAGCTCACTCCTCCAAATTAACAATGCTAGCTGGTAGAGGAAACATTCCTCTATCTGCTGGTGTAATTAATTTTCATGAGTGAGCTTTTATTTGCGAGAAATCGACGGCTAAAGCCATTGTATACAAATACAATTACGCCCCTTTGAAATGTTGGCACTGAATTAGGTATTTTTAGGTGTGTAATTTTTGTGAAGAATCTAGGGAAAAAACAGATTTTCTTAGATTTTTGATAATTTTTCCCAATATTTTTTTTTTTTTATTTCCGTGGCTTTAAACTTCCTCATGTGGTGTTGACATCTTTGCGGATTTGCTAGCGCTAGTGTACTAGCACTGTCAAGCATTTCACGAGCGCTCCCCAACAAACATTGGAAGCAGAATAAGAGCTTATGCAGGCAAAAATATGCTTCTTCAGCAAAAACATAGCTTATTCAGCCCTTAATCAGCACAAATTGTTTGTTGGGTGATGGCCGCCACAACTTGTTGAGTTTCTGGTAGGGAACATTAGATTTGAAGTTTGGCTTGTGTCGTTTGACGTGTAAACGTTCAAATTTGAACGTTTACACGTCAAACGACTCAAGCCAAACTTCAAATCTTATGTTCCCTACCAGAAACTCAGCCAGATTGTGGTGGCCATGAGCGATCGTAAAATACTGGATAGTAGCCAGCATAATGTAAACAGGACATCAGCGTCTATCAGCATGAGATTTCAGGAGCAACTGAATTTCGTGCTGGCTAGTACACTAGCGCTAGCAAATCCGCACAGATTTAAACACAACATAAATGTCACAAAAAATCTTATGCTTACGACATTATGTTATCAACAAACCAAGTGACGTTTTCTTTCTTCAAGAACAACTAGAGGCCTTCGCAGCTTGGTGTCAGACAAATCGTATGGTCTTAAATGTTTCTAAATGTTCTCTGTTATTTCCTTTCGACGTATACGACCACTGGCCCTCCACGACTACGTTTCAAGTGTTAACTACAATGTGCAGTCTTCATCAGTGTCATTCCCACAGGGTGCCTTCCATTCATTTTGGCTAAAAAAATGTTTTATGAAATTATGGAATAATAAGATATTATAATAATATTTTGTTTGTGTGAGCAACAAGAAAAGATTGTGGAGTTTATGTTTGACACATAATATCAGCCAATGTTGCTGCATGAGAGTCGCAATAAGCGATTTTGTCATTTATCTCACCCACTCTTCGCTCTTCACTCTTCGCGAAGAGGCGATCAGAAAATCGCTCATTGTGGCTCTGTCAAAGCTAAATTTGCAGGTTTTATGTGTCAAACACAAGCTTTAAAATCTTTTCTTGTTACTTACACATACAAAATACCATCATAATATCTTATTATTCCATAATTTCCTTAAACATGTTTTTAGTCAAAATGAATGGAAGGCACCCTGATTCCCACTAAAGAACTTATCAAAATCTAACCCCCTTAAGTACTCATCTCCTAGGTAAAAAAAGTCAAGATCACAGGTATACCACTGATGAAGACTGCACATTGTAGTCGAAATACGTATCTGTCATGGATACCAAAATTTATTAAGTGGAATTAAATGGAAGATTACCCCTTTTTTTGCTGTTTTATTTAGACATTTAAAGGATGTGTATTGCTTGAAGGCATTATGTTGCGCTTTAGCCACAATCAATACGAAACTATCGATTTGAAATCGGCTTACTACTTGACTAGCCTATTGGTCCCAAGCAAATCGATTAACGTACCCCATTCTAGTTGAAATTCTGGTACTACACTATGTTTGTTTAAGAGATGAACTAGCCTATGGCTAAAAATCTCTATAATAAAGTAAAAAAAAAAAAAAAAACTATGTTTGTTTTGATTCTCTATAGAGATTGCTAAAGTGTGATTGTGTCAGTGATTTCTTTTCATCGGGAAAATTTTCCGCTATGAAATTTTTTTCCCGGTGAAAACATTTTGCGTATACGTATACGTAACGTAGTGTGCGTACGATAAACGTCAGCAACCTCTATGAAATTTTGACAGATAAAATGAGGGGCTCGTGGATTTTCCCATGTTTCGAGGGGTGTATCGATTAGCTTGGGACCGAAGATAGTACCAGAGTTGAGCCAAAAAAGTTTCTTTCGTCAGCGGCTTACTATCATCCAATATCGATTGCCCAGAGCTTCTTAGTCAACTGAACGTGAACACATCCACAGCCGTGCCCTTTGTTCCCATACGTTTCTCAATATAGCTAGATCTAGGACTAATGATGGAATGCACGAACCCATCAAGAGTATATGTCGTGTTTTTGATAATTGTTTCGAGTGTTTCGAGTGTTTCGATTTTAACTTGTCTAGACGTATGATAAAACATAATTTTCGGAGAGGCCTATCTGTTTGATGTTATTTTTACATGTTACTTAATTCAAGTAAGTCATTGGGGTTGGGTTAAAACCTGCTGACTGTACAAATAAAATAAGTAAAGAAATAAATAAAAGGTGTATTCATGGAAAATGGCACAAACATAAACAGCTGTAGCTTTTTAACTATTATACTAAATTGCTTGCTTGCTAAGTAAAAAATATGTTGTCCTAAACATGTTAGCGTTAGCGTTAGCGTTGTTATGATATACTTCGTAGATTGGATACTA